GTCCATGTGAGAAGCGTCGCGTCGCCTCGTTCGACGCCTCTGTGAAGAGGAACGACTTTTCCAAATCGACCTTGAATCCTGGAAGAGAGGTGTGGTAAACGAAACTGTCAATTTTAGTTAATCGACATCAGAAATGTTAATAATGTACGATATGATATTATCTCCTTCCGCGCTACGCTTCCTGTGGAACATTAATTGCATCAGTGAGAGATACGATCTTTAAAATTCCATCTATTTATTTCGTTCTCGTGGCGGTCAACGAGTCCGGGTGTCGCGATCGTAGGTCTGAATTAATATATACACTTTTGAAACTTAAAATGAGATATGTTTGACGAAAATGAGAAAGAGAGTTCAGTGCAGAAATAAAAACCAGATCTTGTGTATCTTTTGAAACGAAGTGAAAATCTTAAAAGAAAAATTCAATAAGTGTTGATTGATGAAATTATAAACATTTTGAGGAAAATTTTGCACTTTTATAATTTTCACCTCATTTCTCGAGGTACACAAATAATCGACCCTCCAGGGCCTCGAAAAATCGTGTACGAAAATACTGGGGAAACCTATAATATACGTAACGTATACTGTAGTATTCTGTGCGAAGCAGATGAGAGAGAAAAAAAACCGTAGAGAGATGGTGGAAGCGATCTTGAGGGATTCGTATCGCGAAATCGGGCAATCATTGCGGATTTCTAGCTTATTTTATTTTCGTCGGACACCATAAAGCCGATGGTTAGCTAAGCTTTCAGCCTCGCGATCGAGCGACATTTATATACGCAGTAAAGCGGCGCAGCGTCTCAGGTTAAGTTTAAAGGTACCTTTTCATACTGACGCTGGAGGCTTATTTTTGGGTACATTCCATCTGGCTCTCTCAAGCATTGGTCGCGTTCAGCAGAATGTTGATTTTACAACTGTTGGAAGTTTTCTTCGCGCTGATTGGATTGTGCTTTTAGATCTGGAGGAATGGCGAATCTGAAATTTAATCAATATGACCAGTAACGAGCAAATAAGATGTTAGATTAACACGTGTATTTACGTGTATATCTGAGATTCAGCATCAGTAAATTGTATACAATACATTTGAAATACATATAAGACGCTTTAACTCACGAGTCTTCTTCAATTAAAAGACAATAAAAAATATATAAAAATATCCTGTACATTCTAACTGTATAAAAATGCATACATAAGTCAAAATTCATGTCGAATTTATATACAGCAATCAAACTTGATAGCATTTTAGGTTGCTTTATACATGTCTGTTAAAAAATGGAGTACAAAAGTAATGAGAAATTGGAGTTTAAATAAAAAATTTTAAATAAAAAATAAAACACCAACTCAATTTTTATAATAAAAATTTATGAGTAACTTTCCGAGATCTAAAAAAAAAAACATTCTGCTAAGCGCGGCCATTATTTTTTTCCTTGTTTTAACATATATTATTCGATAAACGACAAAAAATAAAAAAATTCCACAAGCGTTGCGAGCCTCGCGCACTTTAACGTCAAAACAGATCACATGACTAAAATTGACGCTTGACATTCGTCAGTTTTGACCACGTGGCCTTTTTTAACATTGCACATTATGGCACAGAAAAAACAAGCCAATCACATTAAAGATCATAAGATAATGATGTAAGTCGCAATAAATCTCAAAATGTTATAAATTCGCCTAGCACGACTTATTATTACTTGAGCTTTTTGTGCGCCATAAAATGAGCCTTGAAAAAAATGCATCGGCCTGAAATTGCATTTGAAAGGTCATGATGAAAGGTAACGAGCGTTTTCGGGAGCGTATACCTATGCGACTTATTGATCGTTGCGTTGCCCGGTTGCTCCCCTCGCGACGACGCAAGTGACGACGTTCACATTGACGCCGCTCTCGCACGCGCGGCACTTCGCTTTGCTTCGCCCGGTTTTCTTCTTTTTTCCGTCCCTCTCGACGCACGGATCCCGCGCACGGCGTACGAACGCGAGCATAAGCGTCTTCCCGATTTTCCGCAGGTAAGAGGTGAAAATTTCCGCCTGCGATCCCCGTCGCGTGTATTTATGTGCGATTTGTTGATGAAGGTGATCTCGCGCGAGAGCTCGCGTCGCGGGAATTATTCTCCGCTCCGGTCCGGCGATGACGAAGCGCTTCGTGACGTTTGTGTAGCAATCGGAATCGCAGTAGATACGTATCGCCGTTGATTGTTCTCTCCCGCACACGATCTCAAAGTCCTCCCGATAAGATGTGTGCGAGATATTCGCGGTCTCATCTGCGCATTTTACGCGGACATGTTCCGGAATCGTGATCGATTCATTGTTGACAGAAGTCTTTATTGATGTCATAAGCCGTTAAAATTCGCGTGACAGAGAGGAACCGAAATGTATAATAACTGCGTGAAATTTAGTTCGATTGATACGCGAGATTTACGTGACGTTTGAACGATTGGTTTTTTTTTTTTTTTTTTTTCGCAGTCTGAGAGAAGCGATGCTGCAAAGATCAGTGCCGAGAAAGTTGTGTGCCTTACATCGTTTGTGTTCTTTCAGATACTACTGAGGAAAATGACCTCTTCCAGCCGCAGCTTTCCATGGAAATCTGCTAGTCTTCTTTTATTACTGTTAATCAGTGCTATCGTAGCATACGACACACAGAAGCATGAATCGTTTGAAGGTAAGTATTTTCTGGTAGGGGTACTAATCATCTGCTTGCTTTCCATCTCATCTCAGCTTGTCATTCTGATTATTTTATGTTTTCTTAAATTCTTTTTTGTATTATATTTTAATCCTTAGTCATTTGAATCCTGTACGATTTTTTTAACACTGGAACAACAATCAGTTAACAATATTTGTATACAAATTATTTAATGCATAATTTTACAAATAATTTCTAAATATGTTAAAGTATATAAGAATCACTTAATAATTTTTGTATACTATTATTACATAGTGTACAAAATAATATAATGATGTGACTATTAAAAAAAATAACTCTTATGAGATTCTCTAATGTGATTGGTTTAGACATTTAAATCAGTGTTGCCATACATATCAAAGGAGCAATAATGATCCATTCATGTATGAAAATATAAATCAATCTCTGCCTGTGATTGTATTGCTTAGTTTCAAAATAGACAACTATAGTCGATATTAATTTATGTACTCAGTAAATAAACTAAATTTGAATCAAACATTACATTCTCTTGAGTTAACTTGTTCAATTACATTAATGACATATTGAGTAAAAACAGTAGTAACTTGTAGAAATGATTATAAATAACTCAAATTGGGTATAATTTTTAACAATATGAATTTAACAGTATGAAAAGCTAAGGGCAAGATCAATTAAAGAATTTTACAACATTTGCAAAATTGCTTTCTCTATTGATCATAATCAGTAATGAAAATTAACTCAAAACATGAATCTCTTGTGTACACTAAGAGTTAATTACTATCCAAATATTTCATTATAATGCAATAGTGATCACTTGCACTACATTGGATTAATAAAAGGCTGCTTTATATAAAATAAAATGTCTAAATGCAGTAGCGTAATATAATATAATGACTTTGACAATATGAAATATGCAATGTATATTCTGTGAAATAAAGTGACAATATCATTATTAAAATATTTCTATGCTTTTACATTTTACTTTGTCAATTTCATATAGTTTTGTTACCAATTTTAAGCATCTTTTTAGTATGCATTATTCTAGTGTAGCACAAGTGACCAAATTCACTATAAGATTGCTGTTTAGAGAGTCATTAACTTACCATCGTGCTTTGTGTTCAACAGCATAACTTGTCAGCTAGTAATGGTTCATCGACGACATATTCATTGCTGTCATAAACATCACGCTCATTAATATCTTCGCTTTTCTAATCTCTCTCCTAACCAAATTGGTGATACAAATTGAGTTTTTCTATTTACTTTATTATACATTGGCTTTTTATGTGCATTGTAGCGTCCCAAGTTGGAAAGTTCTTGAAAACTAGCGGAATATTGAAACATGTAGAAAAGGCATGGGCCACTCTAAAGTTCTATTGGTCTGCAGGACACAAAGCAGTTAAGGATAGCTCACCGGAATATTACAAAGCCATTGTAGACTTTTGTACACCATACGTTAAATTAGCTGGTGATATCTGTCTTGTAGTAAGAAATATTTCAATTAGATGGTATAACAATATCGTGGTATATGTCAAAAGGAACGTACCTATAATTATTGACACAGTAAGTATAATGAAGATCTCAAAAATATTTTCATAGAGAGAACAATTCTTCATATAAAATACATCTTTTAATATTTTTTTTTTCTTTTATACAGGTCGAGCATTATGCTCCAGGGATCTTGGAGCAAATTAAATTCCGAAGTTTTCAGGGACTGGAATTTATGAAAGTTTTTTTCATTACGATTGGAGAGAAAGTTATTGAACATTCCACTGCATCGATACATTGGCTGGAGAAGAACGTCTTTGTGTAAGTGTGCTTATACATTATGCAAAAGCTGTGATCAGATATCTGACCTAACCGTGACCTTCCTACCCTTTTTTCAGAGGCCAGCTTAGCCCGGATAATCTCCGCAATTACGTCATTTGGGCTTTCGACACGACGCACTCGTACGTCTCTCAAACATACGATTGGATGTATGAGAAAATACAGACTCTCTCCAAAGTGCCATGAATAAAATCCAATGGTTTATTGTATGAATAATTATTGCGTTGACGGCGAAATCTCCGCCTCTTTACGCGACTCCGCATTTATTATTTATGACACAGATGCGTTACATATATATTTTCTGAAGATCACGAATGCGTCAGCCATTTTACCTGTGATATCTCGACGAGAAAATCTATATCTTGCTTTGGTTGGTCCTGACGAAAAAAATTTCGCGATCTTCTAATAAACTGAAACAATTGCGGGCGTTTTTTATTAAGACTAATCTTTTTCTATCATTTTTCTTTAAAATTATTATTAATAACTAATAATATATATATATGTATATCCGAACATTAGACCTATTGTACGCAAATCGTTGAAAGTACGATCTTAAGTATTTTGTATTTTCATTTATAATTTTGAGAATTTTGATTGAATATATATATTCGATTACATTGAATGTTCGAATAAAAATGTTTCTGTAACAGCTCTTCTTGTATAGATGTAGTAAAAGAGGAACTCTACTACAAGTAAAAAGATTTAAGGGAAAAATTATTCCGGAAAAATGGGTCAGAATAATAACAGCAACAACGGTGATATTTTTAGGAATAGCAGAATAGTATTAATAAATATCGTAATATAATATTATTATTATTATTATAATAATAATGAAATGATGGTAATAATAGCGATGAAATGCAATAGATAAATATGAGATATGATAATATAATTTTAACAAGAATATATTAAAGTTTTACATGGGAAGAGATCTGTGTGTGGATAGTGACAGCCACTTCCATAAAGCCACGTATGTAAAAATGAGTTGTCTTATTTCCCCCATTCAATAAAGTTTCAGCAGCGTGCCCTTTTTTAAATTTTTTTCACTCTGCGTGCATGTTCACAGCTTTTATCCCTGATTACTTCCATGAAAATGCGTATTCCGTCAACGCACTTTAAGTTCGCTTGTATTTTTGTAACATCGAGTACTCGCATACTATAATTCATACGGGAAGAAGAGCTTCATTGTATTCTTGTAGATTTGATTGCACAGGTATTCCTCTTCCTCATCTCTGATCCGTGCTAGAACTTCCAATATTTGACTGCAAGTAATTAAGATCGTATCATACACACCGTTTAATCCTCTATTGGATCTATTCAATTATATTCTTTCAGAGCTAACACAGTGGGTTTACTCTCATTCAAAATCTATCAATAATATCAAACAATTCAATTTTCTTTAAGTTACATCCGCAAGTTCAGATTATTTCTATTAAAATATTAATTAAGTATGGACTCTTAATTTTAAAAATATAATTGTGTAAAGTAAAAGGACAAATAAAAGTCAGATAAATAAAACAGGAAACACTTTATCACAAATATTCAAATGAAAGTACTAAGGTGATGTATATTTATATGCATGTAAATTTAGTTGTTTGCTACAATATAATTTTATTAATGTCACCTTAGTACTTTCTTAAATATTTGTGATAAAGCGTTTTCTGTTTTATTTATCTGACTCTTGTTTGTCCTTTTACTTTATACAATTATATTATTAAAATATACTTGGTTTTTATTTTTTATGCCACTTTGTTCCTTGAAATTAATTAGCTCCTTTTAATTAACATAAATAAATGGGTCTTACAGACCCAATTTTAGTAACTGTGTTATAAATTTTGATGTCAGCTCCGGAGGATTAAAAATATTGTAAAAAAAATATAATGCTTAATCTTAAACAAATATCGTATGTAACTTTTTTTTTGCGATTGCAGGAAGAAAGTGTACTAACACTATCGTGCAGGGTTCGTTCCGTCCTTTAACCATCTGATCCGCTTGCCACTTTTCTTTCTTTACAGATGGAAAGTGCGTGATAACGTCGTTCGCGGATGCGTGCGTCGGCCTGATCTCACACCATGGACAATCAGTTTCTATCATGAGCCTATCCGAGGGAATGGTAGTTATCGCAAAAAGATTTTCCTCTGTCTTCAACGAGCTGAAACGCAAAACAAAATGATATCGGATTGTTCTTTTTTCTTTTAACTCTTGCGAGAATCGCTTATTCATAATGGATTCAAACATTTCCATTACACTAAATTAGTGCATACTAAAAGATTATACATGAAATTAGCAAAGTTTAAATGTAAAAACATAAATATTTTAACAAATATTAAAATCTTTTTAAATATTTTATAAATATTTTACAGGTGTTTACCAATATAAATTAATTCAAGCTCGGTTCAATTTATTCTTCATCTTTATCTAATTTTTAAAATTAAAAAAGGAATAAGTTGTGGCCAAATTAAAATTAATTGATGAAAATAGATATAAATGTCTAATAATATCACATTATTTAATAAAATATACAGGTATCATTTTATTTAAAATTAATTATATTATGCCACTGCACTTAGATGCTTTATATAAGACTTTAATGCATGCTAAAAGTAATAACTGAAATCACTATCAATCTTACCATCCATTGACGCCGATGTACAAGCCTAATTGTAGTATGGAATTTGCATCCTCTGGGTTACCGTCGAAGGAATGCACAACACCTGGTGTCAATTCGTTTTTGTGCTTCCTCAAAATTCGTACAAAATCGTCACTAGCATTGCGGCAGTGCAGGAACATTGGTAGCTTTAACGTGGAGCACAATGACAATTGTAGCTCAAAGTATTTCTTTTGAGTCTCCTTGGGGCAGAAATTCAGTCTATCGTAATCTAAACCCATCTCACCGATAGCGACGACTTTATCCTTGTTATTTAGTGCTATGTCCGACAGTGATTTGAGATATTCTTCTGGATTATCACTCTCCTCGAATTCATTGCAACGGGTCGGATGACAACCAACCGTCGAGTACAGTCTGTCTGTAATTTGTTGATTGATGACGATCAGTCATTCGTTCTCAAAAATGAACTTAACTTGAACATATGAGTCCTGTAGTTCTGGGACATTTTATTAATTTTTAAATTGTGTTAAAAATATATATTTATACGCCAAGTTCAAGTTTGCATTTTTTAAACAATTATACAAATTTTTAATTTTGAAAATTAATAAACACTTTAGTAAGTCCCAAAAACATTTATGTTTACCTTTAGCGTCACAAAAAATGTATGTTCCTGTTTGGGGTTAATAATGAATTTGATCGTCCATATTTTGCATTGAATAGCACTAAAAGCTGTTTTATTTAAAGTATCTGAATACTATGGCATAATATAATCAACTTGGTTAGTTAAATAACTAATTTATTAATTCCATGTATAACAGCTTTTAGTATGCATTAATGTAGTAATGTAAGTGACTGAATTTATTATAATTTAACAAAATAGATTAAAAATTAAGCAAGAGATCTATAGTTAAAATATTATTTTTTGAAAACAAGGAAAGATTTATATTGATATAACTTCGCATAGATTTAAGTATACTTGCCATCAGTTCTCGCTATTTCAAGAGCTTTCTTGCTTTCTTCCACATTGCCACCTGTAATGATGATCTTCGAAAGATTATTTTTCCAACTTCGCTCTAAAACTTTATCTAAATCTGGCGGATGCTTCTGAAATCCATGATAGATTCCTTGGTATGCGGTATCTGTTAAATTGGCTCCAATATCTATGACAATTGGAATACAATAAAGAATGTTGGCTTTCTCTCTACTTAATACAAAATTGCTCAAAATAAATGTACAGGGTATCAGAATATATGTTTTCCAGCGAGGGATACAGTTGACACAAAATCTGTATGCATTGTTTGCATTTTTTGCACTCAATATCTTTGCTTTCACTCTTTCTGTCTCATTTGAAGTTCAAAAATTTGTAGAGATTTCAAGCAACATCAACAAACCTACAGTGTAACACAGTGCATCATTAAATATTACTTGTCAATATTAAATTTTAATATTAAGAATGACATGGTTTACTGTGTTATACTATATTTCCTCGCTGGAAAATGCCCTATGTTTACAGATACCTTAAATACCAGCAAAGCATTATTATTATTGATACACTTAGAATGCGTTCCATTTAACATCCATAACGCTCGCGAAATCTATTTTATCCTTATTATTTATCAAATGTCAATAAGGAAAAACAATGCTCGTGAGCGTTGCAAGCCTTAAGTAGAACACAGCCTTAGAATTGCATATGATGCTGAAATATATAACGTGTCTCTCAAGATATTTGAGAATTTCACGAAGAAATCAGGAAGCGTCTCTCAGAAAGAACTTAAAGGGTTCAAAAATCTGCCAGGTATCGACGAAGAAAAGGGATTTTATTGATATAAAGAGATCAATCTCGGCTCTCACTATAACCTGTGTATCGCGAGACAAACAATGAAAACGACATGCTGCTTAACAAGGACGAAGGACGCAGTCGGGTTTACCTATAAATTTCCGCAAATTTGACATTCTAGCTGCAAGCATGGAACGTTCCCAAATGAAGATTGTTCGTCCAGATGTCCGGTCGAGGGTAGACAGAAAGGTTAGCTGAGGTTAGCAGGTGTCCGCCGTTTCGACCGGCTGGACTGACACATGGATGGAGTCCGATGAAGGACTGACGTTACGCTTTCATGCGCAGTAGTGATTGTCTCGATGCTATTCTTGCTTCCGCATGTCATCGATCAGCCCGTACAGCAACTATTGATCTACTGACTACTGAATCCTAATCATCGATATATTTAAAAATAAAAATATACGGACACGCGTACAATTAGAAAAATTAAAGGGGTTCCAAAGTCTAGTTGAATACTGTAGCTGTATGAAATGTTCATCTCTACAGTATAACTCTCTTTTTCGTATTAATATAATATTGTATAATTACATAATTGTAATAATACATAGTTATATATATTTATAATGCATGCATGATTTGTAATTCTGAGCTCCATTGGCTTCACATGTATTAGCATTCATTTTTATATTGTTTTCCTTTTTCTATTGCCAATAAAAAAAGGATGACACAGGTAAATATTTTGATTACACATCAAGCTTCTCAATATTTAAATCTTAAACAGCGCTAACATTGTTTCACCCCTTGATGAAAATTTCAAAACTTTATACATAAATATATATTTTCTTAAAATATTCTTTTATTTAATTTTTCAAACTTTTATGTAACAAAATTTCTAGAATTAAAAACATGTTTTTAATTATATTTTACCGTTTAGAACATTTTTATACAAATTGAAATACTTGTAAAAAGTGCAAAGTCTCTATCTTCATATTATTAAGTTCTGAAATATTTTAAAATTTCTCATTTTATAATTTAAAAAAAAAATTATTTTTCAAATTTTATAAAATTATCTTATAAAATTATTTTATAAATTATTGAATGAGAAATTTTAAAATATTTTAGAGAATTCATATTTGAAGAATTCTGGAAAAGATATAGACTTTCTTAGAATTTCTGAAAAATATATGTTGTATTAAAAAAAAAAGTCTAAGAGAAAATTTCTAACATGTTATAAAAATATATTTAGAAATTTTAAAAAATCTAAAAATTTACATTAAAATTCTAAAAAATTCAAAAAATTTTTTACCAGGCTACTTATATGTATACATATAAACTGTAATTCCACTAGATGTGTTGTAAGCTACTGGACATTTTTTACAAGCTTTTAATAGTTGCTGGACTTCTTAAGAGTCTTACTATTTTTCTTATTAACAAGAAATATTACAATCACAGATATATATATAGGTATGCATAGGTGTCGCCTATTTTTTTACAAGTTTTTTATTTAGATACGCTTTTTGAAGATATAACAGATAAGGATATAACAAAAACATTTTGTTTACGTTTGTGAATGTATGGAATTCTTCCTCATCATACTCGCGAATGGAATATTAACAGATGCAAGGCGTTACTGTATTGCAAATGCACCATCGTTGCTCTCGAAATCCTAGAGTTCGTTCGCGAAACACGATTACCGGAGCAATTTGATGATCGTGTTAATCTTCTCAATGCAATCCTCCTTTTTCCTGGAGATTGTTGTCTCCATGTCAATGAATTGCTGCCGACTGATCTTGCCAGGGATCAGCTTCTCCAAGTACAATGCCTGCAGTTGGCCGTAGATCTCCTTCAGGTTACGATCGCACTTTTGTAATTCCTGGATGCGATCGAACACATCGGTAGACTCTCCCTTTATCTTCTGCGCAATCTCATTGAGTGCGTTGGTCGCCGACTTGTATTCCTGATTGATACCCTTTATCGCAGACTGGAAACTGTTGGTGTCCTTAGACACCTTCAGGAGTGACAGCTGCTCCTCTAGAGTATTGTAGGTCGCAATCCTGCGGTCCTGAACAGTGAGTACTTTCTCGCAATGACCAGCAATTCTCAGCTTACTCTCAGACACTTCATCCTTGTCGATGGAGAAGTCACATCTTACGTATACTATGACTGCCAAGAACATTAGCCACAGCGCCAGCACGATCATCAGTGGTTCCTGCAACATTAGCAGACGCGGGAAAGTATACTTGAGTCTGAAACTCTGAATATGATTCTCCACCAGATTGTTCTTAGTCACAGATATCACCGGACGTCCAGCAATATCCAAATATGTATAGTGTAAAGAATCCGGCAGACGGGTTACGGGATATGGCAGCTCCAGCTTCATGTTCCGTGCACCTTCCGGCAGAATGATCTTTAGGACCATCTCGTCTACCACCATGTCGTCGAAGATGTGATCCAACAGTCTCATCTCTAGAGCAAACTCGTCTCCGGAGTGGAATAGGTATTCGTAGCTGGGTACATTGTAGCCAATTGTATAACGAGTCTTCCAGCCACCAAACAATGGGAATCTAGGCCGTAGATTCAGCTCCACTGAATCCTTCTTGATACGAGTGTGCGACGTGGAGATGTTACCGATCTCGTCCCTGTAATAAATGTCGGAAGCAGCCGCCGGTAGGATAGTATCAAAACTTTGTATGCTCGCCTGTCCAGATTTGGACTCCCGGGCATACTCGTAACGTGAGAAGGAACCTTTCAGCAATGCTCCAGTATGTAAAAGATCAATATGCTCCTCGACAGCTATGTTACCCCAGTGAGAGATCTCGAGGATCCTCTCAAGCCTTGTTACTGTAAGGAACTTATTGTTGTTCTCGAAGTGTACCGTCATCTCCTCATAAGAAAACGGCGACTGAGACTCGTATGGACCATAAGCCAACATCGAGCCAGTCTGGGATACAGGCTTGATCTTGGTGTAGCTCTCGAGATTGCGCGTGGGCAGTGCTACATAGGTGGTCTGCTTGGTAACAGAATAAGGCAAGCAGGCGTACACATTGCCTGTGTACCTGACAAGCTGCTTTTCCTGTTGAGTGATCTGCTTAGGATGTGGTACCAGCTCGTGCGTGAATACTGTCTCTAATTCAATGGTGAGAGAGCGTCGAGCCGTCAGATGGTTGCCAAGATCAACCGAGTAGAAGACTCGATCGCGATGCTGCGGTACCTTGGTCTCTTTCACCTTCAACTCCAGCTTATCGGGCTCCACACGCGCCGCTACGTAACTGATAAATCTGCTCTGAGCGTCGTCCAGACAGAAGAGGAAATTTCGGACGCGGTCTTCCTTGCCTTGCTTATTTTCCATCACTACCCGAGTGGTGATTTTGGTTAACTGCGACTGCAAGTCAATGTGCCGTTCGACGCTCCTGATGGTTAAGTTCGGGTCCACGACCCCGTCTATGTCGGCCGCGGTGCAACCGCTGTACGTCCCCAAGTAAAGCGCGAGAGCGCAGATTAACGCACCCGCGTGAACGCGAGACATCGTCGACGAGACTTCGAATCGTAATGAAAGTTCTATAGTTCTATTTCCTGATGGAAGAACGAAGCGCAAGCGGTAAATGTCCTTGTACGTTGTACGTTGTGAACTCGCCGGGTACGCGGCGACACGGTTACCACATAACAAAATACGTGGCGTTCGTCTATGGCGCCGGCTAGTTGCGCGCATGCGCATGTCAATATATAACGATGCGGCCGGCAACGCATCACCGCGAGAACATACGTTCACGGTTCACGTTTACAACACAAAAAAGGTCTGTTCTTTATTGCTGAACTTTTGCACCAGTTCATCTTTTTTCCTTTTCCCTTCTCCTGGAGAGAAAAGGAAGAAAGATGAATTGGATTCGCTACCGGCCTTACGGTCTCTACTGTGATTGGCCAAAACGTTTACTGATTACATTTACGGCTTTACGTTTTTGTTAGAGACCTAGAAAACAGAGATACGTCATTGAAGGGTATGGCTTGATTGGCTGTCTAAATCACAGATCAGAGAGCCATTTTAATTCACTATTGCATCTAATAGATATAGTTTTATAACGTATGCACATATATATATATAGAGAAAAATTTAGACAATACAGTCACAGTATATACAGTAGCGCAACTCTCCCGATTTTATGTTGCCTAAAATGGAGTGCGCATGCGCGAAATATGGCAGTTACTAGACTATGCCTTTCTCTTTTCATCCTTTTTTCGCTCTGTCAAACCTATTTATTTAGCGCATGCGCACTCTATTTCCGCCAACATAAAATCGGGAGAGTGCGTTACTACATATACTGTGCTAGTGTGTTTTGACAGAGCGAAAAAAAGATGAAAAGAGAAAGGCATAGTCTAGTAACTGCCATATTTCGCGCATGCGCACTCCATTTTAAGCAACACTTACATCAAAGATGCCGACAGAGAGTTGCGCTACTGTATATACTGTGATACAGTATCGAAGTGCAATAAAAAACTATTATTATGGTGTAAGTATTCTTATTTATGTGAATATTTAATATCAGACTTAACCTAACCTAATCTAATCTTTCTACCTTTTGCATCAACTGTCATCAGCTTATTGGTCAAGAGCACTTTATATTGAATTAAAATGGCGGTGGTTACCTAACCCAACCGACGCAATGTCGCATCTCTGTTTTCTAGGCCTCTAGTGGCACCATACAGGTATCACTTGTGATTAGTCCGTCATGTTTTAGCTATTTCCTCCAGTTATTCAACCGCATTATTTTCTAAATTTTGTATTCATGCTAAAAAATGCTTAAAAATTGTGACAAAATAAAAAAAATGGTAATAAATAAATATTGTATACAAAATACTCTGTAACTTTTATATATTTATTACAAAAAATGTCATTTATTGCATGTTATTACTTAATACAAAACAACGTTATTTATTGCACGTTATTTATGCTATGTCAAAAACAAAATTTATTATAAATAATATAATAAGAAAATATTTTACTTAAAAGAATGATATAATAATACATTGCTATATATTTACTATCATAATGTTTGCGATTCGGTAAAACAATTTTACGCTTATTTTTAAGTTTTAAACGCGCTTAGCGAATTTTTTAAATACATAGCTTTAAAAGCAAATTATGCTTTATAAGCAATCAAGAATATGATCTATGGGAACAGAATTAAATTTATTAACTAAAAAGGTATGTAAATTTACATTACACATTTTGTCAAAGTAAGGTATGTATAATGCCTAAAAATATTATCTAATTGTAAGAAAATGATCACTTTATCGCTTAAAATGTTGCCTCATTGACAAAGTATGAAGCATTTACGTTGTAAAACATTTAAGTCTCGTCAGTAAAGAATATTTAAAATTTAATGTTCTTTTATTTGAGCTAAACAGATTTTATGCAATTACTACATAAGGTAACAATTACGGATATTGAGATATAGTGACACTTTTTTTTCGATAATTTGCAAAACACGCCAAAATTTGCAGAACGCTATAGTGATTTACAGCCTTTGTTACGTCCACGCAATATTTTTTGCCTCTAAATTCCAGTTACACTACTAGCGCAACGTGACACTGTCTTTGTATGTTAGGGGCTGCGCAGAATAAAAGGAACAAGGAACAGAGAACAGAGAATAAGAATTTCAACCTATCAGAAATCATGTATTATGGAATACACACTGTTTATTCCACAGTATATGATTTCTGATAGGTTGAAATTTTTCTGTTCTCTGTTCCCTGTTCCTTTTATTCTGCGTAGCCCTAACGATTCCGGATTCAAGCGTCGACGAGAACGCCGCCACAAGAGAGGTCTGCCTTAGTGACCCTCTAAGGGTGTGTTCAGATTCCTTACTCAGAGTAGAAATATTTACCCGACCCCGTTCAGATAGTGGGTGTATTCCGAACCGGGTTATTTTAGCTTATTTTTTTTCCTAGATGTTGGCAGCTCCGTATCTAAACCGAAAAGTGTTCCGAATCTGACGGATGGTCATATGTATGAACATACGACCGTCCGTCGGATTTGGAACACTTTTCGGTTTAGTTACGGAACTGCCAACATCTAGGAAAAAAAATAAGCTAAACTAACCCGGTTCGGAATACACCCTATGGGTCTGAGCACAAGCACTGCCGTAACATTTTACGACAACTTAACTTCGTATGATACGAAGCAAAATCCTGTTTTTTGATTGGTTGTAGAATCGTCGTACGACGAAAATCGTATGCAGTGTGAATCCAGCATTAAGCCCAAAACACATGAAATGCATAACAGTGCATAACATAAGACCGTGAACCAATAAGCATCTTATGTTAATTAATATGGCAACTTTATGCTGGATGCTTATTGGTCCAACAGTTTTATGTTATGCTCATGCTCTATTATGCATTTCATGTACGATAGGCTTTAGGGTCTGTGCACAAGCACTGCCGTAACATTTTACGACATACTAAATTGTAGACGTAAATAACGCACAAGCTTTGGCGTATCGGCGTATGACGTGTTTATGCACGCTATCGAAAGATATGGCAATAATGTACATAAACACGTCATATGCCGATACGCCAAAGCTTGTGCGTTATTTACGTCTACAACTTAAGTTGTCGTAAAATGTTACGGCAGTGCTTGTGCTCAGACCCATAGGGTGTATTCCGAACCGGGTTAGTTTAGCTTATTTTTTTTCCTAGATGTTGGCAGTTCCGTAACTAAACCGAAAAGTGTTCCGAATC